ATATAGAGGAGTGGAAATTCCTTTCTTCTTTTCTTCTTCTTCCTCTTCCTCTTTTCCCTCCTTCTCCTTCTTCTCCCTCTCCCTCTTCCTCTTGTCCTTCTTCTCCCTCTTTCTCTTTCTCTCTCTTTCTCCCTCTCCTCCCTCTCCCTACCCCTCTTCCTCTCCCCTTCCTTCTTTTTTTTTTTAAAGGTTTTATCCATAGGGTGTGTGTGCTGACTGGGAAAATACAGAGAGAGGAAGAATGAGAAATCACCCCTCCAGGAGGATTAGCCATGACGCAATCCCTTCTCCTCCTGGGTTTTGGGCACACACACATGCCCTCAGTGATTTTCTAGCCACTGAATCCAGGACTCAAACCACAACTGACCATGTGGGATTCCAGCACCTTAACTACGACACTGCTTGCTGGCCTAGGGGGTGGTGATTTCTACCATATTCACTCCCCGATTTGTCTTGCACAGAAGAAAGATGAATTTTGGGTCGTTATAGACTTCGTCAAGTTGTGACACTAAATACAACCACCACCTCGCGTGCGCTGTGCTTTCTGGAGCAGGTCATCCTCTGGTATGAGGTGTACCCCTAGTGACCTGGCACATCATTCTGTAAACCAACCCATAGAGACTACTTGCTACAAACAGAAAGGAATGAAGCCTCTGATAAGTCCAGATAGAAGAATTATGATGCAGGTATTTAGGGTTTTACAGCAAAACCATGGTCTTTTCCACGGATAATTCTCCTTTTAGGAATAATTTTTGAAGCACTGATGGACCCAAATAGAGATTGAGTAACTGAACCTGGTCCAGGAAGCAACCACACAACCCAAGCTGCCCCTCATTAACTGGAATTTGCCTAATGCCACAGCCTCGGGCTTGGGCAGCAGCCCCAATAATCAGGTGAAAGTCTGTGGACAAGCTCATGCCCAAGTCTTCCTTGGGGTTGTGAGCAGGTGGCCCAGATCCCCACGGTGCCTCCTTCCTGCTACCTGGTGGATCCAGTCACTTGTGTATGAAGTTCAGGACAGGGGCTGGGAGGCGGCATGGTGGTTAAGGCTCTGGACTCCCACATGGCCAACCACAGTTCAGGGCCTGGACCCGGTGCCTTGAAAATCATGCTGGGTGTGTGTGTGTGTGTGTGCATGCACGTGTGTGTGTGTGCCCAAAACCCCAGGAGGAGAATGAAGGAGAAGGGATTGTGGTGTGACATCTGCCCTGGGGGGTGATTTCTCACTTTCTCTCTCCCATGTCTGTCTTTCTCCAATGAGCTCAGGTGTCCTATTGCAAAAAAAAAAAGTTTTTTATAAGGCTCAGAACAGTGACTGGCACACCCTGCCCGCTCATTGTTACCTCTGGCTGAGCCTTGAACACTCTAATGGAATTGTGTACTGTCTAGTTCTATGCTAGAAATGCTTTCAGTGTCTTTTTCTTGCTCCTTTTATACATTCTGCACAGCCCACCGTGTCACTAGACATAGTAGAAGCTCAAGCATGTTATCAGTTCGGGAAGGGAAACATCACGTGTCCATTAACAGTTGTTTGATTTCCTTATAAGATAAGAAGCACAATAGCTCCCGAGGCTCAGGGTTAGGGAGCAGAGACAAGAGTTGATAAGGAGCTTGAGGTCCAGAGCAGATTAAAGCTGCCCTCAGGTGGTGTAATGGAGTTCCTCAGTGATGAGCCTTGGGGGTGCTTGCCTTGGGGGTGCTTACTGACACCACTGCACCCCATCGACTTGCCCTCTATGGCCCTGGGTCACAGGGACCTGTGAGGTTCTGCTTCTGCAATGCCAAGTATGTTAGGGCTCCATCGCTGGAAAGTGACTGGTCAGGAAGGCTGCCGATTTAAACAGCTTTAAATGCCCACTCTCAGCAGAACCAGAATATAGGAAGAAAGTTTCACAGGACATGCTAAAGAAATAGAGGCAAGTGGTTGAGGTGTTGGACTCCCACATGACTGATCACAGTTTGAGTCCCAGACCAGGAGGCTGCAAAAATCATGCCAGGCGCATGTGTGTGCATGCCAAAATCCCGAGAGGAGAATGGAGAAAAAGGGGCTGTGGTATGGCCATGCCCCAGAGGGTGATTTCTTAATTTTCTTCTCTCTGTCTTTGTCTCCCTCTCTTTCTGGTGAGCACGTGGGCCTATGGCAAAAATTCTAGAAAAATATTTAAACAAAAATAGACTTGCTTTATGAATTTGGGAAGTTGAAAAACATAATTCAGAGTAATAAAGGTTTTGGACGAGTCAGGGGCCAGATGGTGCAGTAATAAAATGCAACACTCTGTCAGGTTGATCCACTTGCGAAGGTTCCTGGTTCACGTCTGGAGACCTCTCTGAGGACCCTGGGCAAGCACGTGCCCACAGTCCAGGGCTGGCTGAAGCTGGGGGTGAATTGCAGCATCAGGACCCTGTTGAGGGTGATGTCTATCTGTCTGTCTTCTGTGTCAGTCTCCCTCTCTCTGTCTCTCTAGCTTATGAAAGAAGTAAATAAATAAACTTAAGGAAAGATTAATCACTCAAAATTCTTAAGTTTTAAAAAATCAAATCAGCAAGCAGTGCATTCACAAGGGGAACGACAAATCATTGCTACATACTTACTCATGTACACTACTGCTATACACTGTGACTGTGGACATAAAGACAGGAGCTATTTTATACAAACTTTTAAAAAGACTGATCATTTGTTGAGTCAATATTGAATTGCACTTAATTTCTTTTAAGAAAAAATCAATTGCAAATATTTCCTGTTAAATTGTCATCAAGTGATATGTTTTCCTTGCCTAAGACATATTTTTTAAATGTTGGGCAAATTTTTGCCATATGTTAAATAATGCATTCTAAATGTATAATAATGGTAATATTTTTATGCATGTACAAAATTCATATGAATTTGAAAAGCATTTAGAATATAAAAATTCAGCAAATTTAGTTCGAATATGTCACTTTCTAGGACTTTAGAGCTTATTGCTTTGCAATAACCAGTCCCTCCCCAGACTACCACAAGCATTTTTAAATTTTATAGTGGAAAATGTCCAACTGTATATAGAATGAGGCAATAGTTCCTAGCATATGAACTTAGATCAAAACATTTAACATACAAGCATACTGATGCTATCTTATAAATCAGCCTACATGTTCTACAAAAACATATTTCTTTAATAAATAAATATTTACTGAGTTCCCGTTACGTATTGGATGTTGTAAACACTGAGAGTGAACAGACGAAAGTTAGCCTCTGAGAGCCTGAGTTTATTTATTTTACTCATGAACAACATGTGCATGCTTATGAGAGAGAGAGAGAGACACCGCGAGAGAGCGACCCCCATGGGGAATGGTCGCAATGCAGTCCCCCCTCCTCCATTTCTCCCTCGTTCAGGATTTTTGGCACGTATGCACATGCATCCCAGATATTTTCAGGCCACCAGGTCCAGGACTCGAACTGCACAGTAGCCGTGTGAGATTCAGCCACCCGAACAACTAGATCACAGATGGTTTCTTTGCTGGGCTATGTTTAGCAACTCAAGTATAGGCATAGAAAGCAGACGAAGTTCATCTGAGGTTGGGACTTTGCCAGATGATTACAAAGAAAGGATTTCAGTATTTTGGCGAGAGGTTAATTGAAACTACAGACCATGAAATCTATGCTCAGTCAAGAGCATAGATTTCAAGCAATGCCAGCCAACAAGTAGAAGGCCAATGACTAAAGAATAAGCAGACATGCCCCAGAACTGGCTATTTTTATAAGGAGGACAATTATTTATAAAGATAGTAAATGAATAGTTCTGGACCCGGTGGCTTGAAAGACGCTGGGCCCGTGTGCATGCATGCCCAAAATCCTGAGAGGAGAATGGAGGAGAAGGGATTGTACTACAGCATGGCCATCCCCTCTAGGGGGGTGATTTCTCACTTTCTCTGTCTCTCTCCCCATCTTTGTCTCTGGCAAGCACCCATACTCCATAGCAAAAACTGAAAAACTAAACTAAACTAAAAAAAAGATTAGTGAGGTTATTGCTAACTTTCATTAGTTATGCATCAGGTTCCACCTATTGTGACATTTCTAGAAGACTCATTGTGAGGTAAAAGGTAGAAGTTAAAGACGAACTTTCCTAAGCTTTAGCCTATTGAGATGGGCCCTAGGTCTAAGTATAACACAGTCGCTTTGGTTCTCTCATAGCCTGGATATAATTCTACACACACGGACATCCAGGGTTGGAGAAGTTAGGTAACCAAGATCACACGGTTGCCTAATGACAGATCTGGGATTTGAACTCAGATCCCTCTACTCCAGAATCCTCAGTCTTGGCCAACATAATATGCTTTATCATTCACTTTTATATGTTATGGCTTGCCCATCCCCATCCCTTTTAAATGGATTTAGGTAGAAAAATACTCACGTTTCCCACTTTTAATATATAATTCCATGCGCTATACCTGCTCTGCTTAGACACCCACCTAGCCTGGATGTCCAGAATCTGTTTGGGGACTGGCTCCTGATCATCCACTCTGAGGTTATCACTTACGGATGCTACCCACCTCTGGAGAATGATGCAAGAGAGGAGAAGGATATGGCTGGCCCCGTAGTGCATTAAGTGCTGTGTGTTGGGAGCCAGATCCCGCATAGCCAAATGCAGTTTGAATCCCAGACCTGTGGCCTGAAAAATATGCCTGGTGCATGCACCCCAAATCCCAATAAGATGGAGAAATGGAAGAAAGTAGATTGCAGCATGACCACACCCATTGGGAGGTGCTTCCTCTCTCTCTCTCCCATGTCCTCTAAAATTTAGAAGAAAAGAAGAAGAAGAAGAAGAAGAAGAAGAAGAAGAAGAAGAAGAAAGAAGAAGAAGAAGAAAAGAAGGGAGAAGAAATGAGAAGGGAGAAGGGAGAAGGAAGAAAGAAGAAGGAAGAAGAAGAAAGGAGAAGGAAGAAGGAAGAAGAAGAAAGGAGAAGGGTAAAAATAGGATAAAGCAACTAACTTTAAATTTTTATTTTGATTTCTGTATTTTCAGGGTAATCTGAAAATGGCCCCCTCGTCTTCTCTCATCGTAAGTAGCAGGGTGGCTTTAGAGCTGTTCACATTTGTGGAGTTCTTGTTTGCCATAGTTTGAAGGGTGCTATGCTACAGTCAGCTTCCACACATCCAAGGTGCTGCTGTTGCCTAAAGACCCTTCCAAGATAGAGAAGCTCTGATTAGCACAGGGAAGGACTTTCGGTTGCAGACCTGCTCCTTGGCACAGGGGGTCATTTTTTCGGCAAACACTTAGTAAACACTTAGTGTTATTCACTTAGTATTCCTGTGTTCTGATCAGTGGCTAGGCTCCCCTTCAGGGCATCACATCCTCAGCAAGCAGATCAAACGGGTGAGCACACCATCGGTAGCTTACACACAGGGAGCACGTGCAGCATGCTTGGGACCCCAGAAGAGGGACTTAAGCCCCTCAGAAGCCTCCTCCCGAGAGATGTCATGGCCCCGCAGTGCCATGGAAGCAGCCTTCCCTTCAGGGAAGCAGGAGGCAAGCACCGGGCAATGGATTCGCTGTCCTCTTTGAGATACACAAGGTCACATTTGGATCTTGCACTGATGTGAGTGTGCAGCCCTGGGAACCTGTAGAGCACTCGGGGAACACTGGCAGGGCAGGTACTGAATCCATCCCGGCCTGTCACAGGGAATAACGTTGCCCTCTTTTGTTTCCCTGCCACTCTGAGCGGTGCAGGGTTGCCTCGGAATTATTTCAGCGATGCGCTGCTTTGTTCCTTTGAGTACCCCATACTTTAGGTGCCAATTCACCTTTTCCTTTCATAAAGAAGAGTCAGGAAAAAGAACAAGAGGCATGGCTAGACAATGGAAAAGCCAGCGCATTGAAAAGGTCATGGTACCCCAATGTACTATTTTCATCTCGAAGTGTTTCAGGCATTGTGAGTCCTTTTTGACATTCCACTCTACCGACAAACACTGAAAGGGGGGCGGGGGAGAAGGACACGCATTATTTCATCTGCTTGTGGAATGTGATGGCAAGAGTGGGGAATGGGGCCCAGTGGATCCGTTCTTTTTGTCTGGAGGTTTCACTTGGAGGTTTGTTTTGGAGTTATCTTTCTGTGAGAAGCATGGTGTTCTCGTGGCGGTACAGAAGAAACGAGGCGTCCCTCTAGGCGAGCTAACATTTTTACCTTCTTTTGGCTTTCTTCTTTCTTTTACGAGTTCTCATCTAGCATTTGTCTGTGAGTGACTGACTTTCAGGAGACTTGCAGTTAGTAGCTAACATTCTCCCAACGTTGTCACTGCGCGGAATACTGCTGGCAGACGCCTGCTTACCTTGCCTCCTCTGTCTTGCCCTCACTCCTGTGGAATCTGCAAAGTCAGCTGCTCCATGGACGTGTAGGCGATAGCCATGACTGCCAGCTCTTACCGTAAAAGGTAGCCAAACGTTTGCTGAGAGAGCTCTGAAAAGAGGGAAACAGAAAAGTCAGTGGATCCTTCCTTTTTTCCCGTGGGGATCTTGGGAATGATATCTAGAGACCCAGCAGTCGTGTTGTGACCATGAAGCAATGAGCTAACTTCCTAAGGAAGACAGAATGGGAAGAGAAAAGGATCCAGGGTCATTGACGATGTCATGGAGTTCTACACCTGCCTACCCACCTGTGAGAAATGGAAGAACTCCAGTCTGTGTAAGGTACTGGAATTTTGATGTTCTGCTACCTGTAGCTTAAAATGTATCTAACTGATGAATGTGCCTTTATAAACCTTCTCTGAGCCTCATGATAAGCCTGAGTAGATTTTTCCTATTTCTATTCCTATGGAGAAAAGGAAATCCAGGAGTTCCCGTTAAGAGCACACACCTGGGAAAAGGTAGACCTGGACTTAGGTCCCAGAAATCTCAAATTCTCTGTTCCTTTTCCACCATCGCCTGTCCCTGTCTGAGTAAGAATTTGAACTTGCATTGGACGAGAGGACAAATACTCATCAGTACGTTGTCTGATCTCTCTGCCAAGTGACGTGGGGCTCCTCTCTCCCTCTTCAGTAAAACGGCATTAGCTGGAGTCCTGCCTCTGCTGCTTCTGTTTCAGTGCCACATGTGCCTCCGTTTAATGCAGAGTTAAAGAATATGGGATTGGGAACCAGCAGTTAGCATAATGGCTATGTTGCTGGACTCCCACGTAGTAAACCGCGGTTCGCGTCCCGGACCCGGTGGCTTAAAACTCACGCCGGGCGCGTGTGCGTGCGTGCCCAAGATGCCGAGAGGAGAAGGGAGGAGAAGGGATTGCTGCGTGACCATCCCCCCTGGGGGGGTGATTTCTCGCTTTCTTTCTCTATGTCTCTGTCTGTCTGGCGAGTGCACGCGCCCTATAGTGAAAACCTCTCCAAAAACAAACAAAAAAAAGAATATGGGATTAAATCAGAACTGGGAATATAAAATATGTCTCTGAATGCAGAAAATAGCAATGACCTTTCTTGTTACCAGGACGGTGGGGAGGTATAAATGTATCTCACTGAAGGTACATGTTTCAAGTGAGCAATGCACCCCTCCAGACCGGAGAGTGGCCGCGCCACTCTCCTCTTCCCTCACCCTTGCTGGCAGAGTGAGGTGTCTCAGCCTCCATCCTTCTTCCAGACGACTTAGGAAAGGGATCCTTCAGGAGGATTCTGTCAAAGCCAGCCAGAGCAGTCCCATTCCATGTGCTGGCGATGAGCCTACGATCGGGTAGATGCACGACCTAGTCCTGGCCAATAAGACTCGAGCGGAAGTCTTCTAGAGAAAACGATCTCTTCTCTGGACCGTCAGATCTGGCTGTCACTGGAGATAGCTCTGGAGGGTGAGTGAAAAAAGGGAAGGAACCTCCATCCTGGATGACGTTCTTGAGTCACTCACTGGATTAACCCTAAAGCATCCCTAATCTGGGGCTTCTTCTGCCAAACACTACATTTTATTACAGTTTAAGAAAAACTGAGTCAGCTGAAGGCATGCTATCCGACCATAATGTTTCCTGAAGCACAGCACGTGGGCTGCCCTCCAGGACCACCCAGCCTCGGACCACATGGGGAAGGTTCTTTCAGGTGGACCAGCAGTATCCCTGTAGGCTGCTTTTTCCAGGTGGTCTGAACTCTTACAGCACTGCTCTCCGTAATACCCACGGCCTTACCCTCAGCTGGGGAAATCCAGCAAAGACCATTGAACGCTTGCACCTAATTCATGTAAAGCAGAATTTCTTAAGAAAGAACAGTGAGAGCTGTTAACCCACAGAGCATGGCGTGTCGTGCACCAGACAAATGATCTCTGCAAGAATTACCAGAGCTTTGATGTTTTCCTTTTTGGAAAGCAAAATTGAATACAATAATAGGAGTGTGGTCCCGAGGACTAGCTGCCAGGATTAAAAGCCAACCTCTCTCATTGACCAGATGTACGACATCGAACAACTTCGAGTACTTTTCTGTGCCTCAGTTTCCCCACCTGTAAAATGGGCATAACACAGTACTTTCAAAGTGATAATGGGACCTCCCAGGACTGTCGTGAGGAACCAGTCCCTTTTTATCATGTAGTAGGTGCATTGTAGTTGTTGGCTGTTGTATTGTTCACAGACTGGATTGCAAACCTCTTTCTTCCCTATTTCCTTGAGTAAGGATTAGCCTTGCATTCATTAAACTCTGAATTAATGCTCCTTGAATGTAGGTCTTTCATGGTTCTATATGAAAAAAATTTTTTGAGAGAGATTTTTGCTATAGGGCACGTGTGCTCGCCAGACAGACAGAGAGAGACAGAGAGACAGAAAGCATGAAATCTCCCTCCGGGGGGATGGCCACACTTCAATCCCTTCTCCTCCATTCTCCTCTCGGGATCTTGGGCATGCACGCACAAATGCCCGGTGTGAGTTTAAGCCACCAGGTCCGGGACTCGAACCGCCGCTGACTACGTGATAGTCCAGCGACACAGCCATTACACTAACTGCTGGTCCCCTATATGAAAATTTTTGAATATAAAATATTTTTGATATATTTATTGACTTAATGACAGGAGAAAGTAATACATTGAAGACAAATTATGCTATGTTCTGGTTTTTCTAATTGGTACTATTATTACTATGACTACTACTGAAAATATACTTCCAATTATAGAGTCCTCACTTTTTTTTTTTTCTTTTCAGGTTTTGCTATAAGCACATGCGCTTGCTTACGAGAGACAGAGAGAGGCGGAAAGTGAGAAACCTCCCCGGCAGGCAGACATGGCCATGATGAGATCCCTTCTCCACCATTCTTCACCTTATTTTGGGCACACGTGCATGCGTGCCTAGTGTGTTTTCAAGCCTCCGGTTCTGGGACTTGAACTGCAGAGTCAGCCATATAGGATCCACTGCTGGCCCCTTAATCTGAATTTTGGAAGTCGTGCACTTGATGATTGATTTCAGGAACTTCCCTCACTTCGGCCCATGTTCTTCAGTGACTCTGTTCTCGAGGTAGCTATCATTTACTTACACCCCGTTATTTTAAATTTCCCCTCAACGTGCAGCTATGACCATGGCAAATGCTTTCTCAGTGGCATGCCTTTCCTCAACAGTCCGATATTTTATTCTTTGCATGTAATTTAATTTTACTCTTTTGGGAAAACTGTCTCTAAATATATTGAAAACAAAACACCTCTTAAAAAAGGAAAATGACAGTACCTGGTTTTTCTTTCTTAGCGTTTGAACCACAGATTTCTACAGCCAAATAAGTGTTCTCGTTTATTACAGGAACTTCATCTGTAGAAAAAACAGCTCTCACACTTTCAGACGAGGTCATTGGATATTGTGGCGCTTAAGTCATAATTATGTTATGAAGATTAAGCTCTAACTCTCCTGCTTATATTTGTTTATTTTTTCTTTTGACATAGATTCACCTTATTTTTTCCAAAAATCCTTAACTGTAAATAAAATGGTAAATACTAAAATTTTTGTTCCCTTCCCCCAGCACTCCAGTTCGCCAGACTCTGGGATATGCACATGCAGTGTTTCAGATAAACTTGGGATCCAAACCCATGGTCGGCCATGTGGCTTCCAGCACTGCAGTTCAGGTTGCTACTGGTATTGCGCAAAAATATTTTACTTATTCATCCAAACTTTTACTACTCAGTCTATTATACAGGTGCTATACGAGCACGGGAGACATAAAAATGAAGTGAACACAGATGTACTGCCTACGATTTCTGTGATTAATAAAAATAGTAGTAATTCTAACATGCATAATCATCTCCTAACTAGTAGACTACAAGAGGATGCCATGGATAAACACTCCTTAAGTAAAATGCAGGCCCGGCCTTGGTGCCTACTGATTTACAGTGCTGGAAGCCACGTGGCCAGCCTCCGGTTTGGATCCCAAGTTGACCTAAACATGCTGTGTGGGAGTGTCCGAGATCCCAACTGGGGTGCTGGGGGAGCGGGACCGTGGAATGATGAGATGCTATCGAGAATGCCCCCGCCTCCATCTCTCATCTCTCTCTCCTGTACACATTTGCACACACT